CACCCCCCCCCCACACACACACATATATATCTTCTAAACACCGATGCTTAACTTATGTTAAATATTAGTGACATGTCACATTATTTAATTGGTAAATCATTAAATATATGGAACCTACCTTTAACTTATTTACCAATTAAATGGTGTGTCATATCAAAGAGGGCTTCCACCGAGGTTTCGTGTGTGTGTGTGTGTGTATATATATATATATATATATATACTAAACAGTAATTTAGACGCCAAATAAAGAAAGAGTTCAGATACTCGTTATCCAGGGGTCTCAGTATGTCAATGTAAAATAGAGAAAACCAAAACTATTTTACTTTCCAGCAGAAGCAATGAATCGAACCCTTACTGGTGTAGATCCATAAAGATCTAAGCCTTTGATCGTTAAGAAGAGCACCAAAAACCAAAGAACCGGATTACATATCAGATCGACGATGCTCTGATACCACTATTGGAATTAACAGTCCCAATAATCCAAGAAAAACACAAAAATATAAAAGAACACAATGATTTTTCGTCCGTAGGCCCGGATGTTCACCCAAAAATGGGCTACGTCACCGCGTTGAGCTTCCACCAAAGTGGTTAACGCTCTAATCCACTAGAAACCAACAATAGAATATCAGTACAAGGTTTACAAATCACAGATCTAAAAAGATCAGCCCTCAGACCCTATTTTTTCCCTCACAGATTGAACAAACAGATTACACCAAGTAATCGAACCTTACTGTTCAACCAAGAACAGATATAATCTCTACACCAAGTACACAAACTAGATCTCACCAAGAACATCTAATGATTCAGAGATTACAAACCAAAAACCAGAGTTTTTCGAGAGAGAAAATTATAGAGAGCAGAAAGGAAGATAACCCTAGAAGTTTCTCGCATAATGGTAAGTGAAAAGTCTAGGACTAAGTATAATTAAAGGTTACTTGCATCCAACGGTTCAGCTGACTCCACTTAACACCATCTGATCCATCCAGTTAAAACAAACTAAAGTCGCATTTGGACGAAACACGAGTCTGTACAAGTGGGGGCAAACCGGGTCACAAACAAACTTGAGCTCAACTGTTGGGTTCAATCATTGGGCCTGAAGGTGTTAAGCATTATTCTTAACAATTTTCAATTAAATTGATCTTAAGGGATCTTTATTTCCTTAATCCTTGCCACTTGATTCCCAAACCATAATACATCTTCAATATTGCTATTTACACTTTCAGCGTAGTAAATTGAACAGCAATTGTTTTCAATACCCCTGACGAATCATGCATTCGAAGCTTAAACTTCTTTTCCTTGAGCACAGAATCCACACATGAAAAGAAACTCACGAATAATCCAATGGAAAATCATATCACAGTTCCAGTAACAAGAAACAGAAGGCTGAAAATCCATATAAATCATCATCAACACAATAAACCGAAAGCAGAGAAAATATCACAAAGAGTAGGAGTGCAATCATAACACTATCAAGATCAGCAATTTAACAAAAACCCAAATTAAGGTGTTCTAGGAATCTAGTGCTGCATCAAACAATTAATAAAATCAATTTAAACGCGTAAAACTTACCAAAACGGATTTTTCACCCTCCCTCCTTCAATTAAAGTTATTTGTGTTCTCTCGATCTGGATTGGAAGTTGAAATATTTGAGAGGAAGCACGAGATTTCATGATTAATTGCGAGTTTGATTGGAATTGGATGAAGCTTGAAATAACAAATTTTTTATACCGTGGAAGCTCAGATACCACAGGATTCACTAACCAAAGAGCCAGCCTTGTCGCAAATAAAAGAGCCAAACGTTCGTTATATACAACGATTTGGCGCCAGAGACCCGTTAAACTCTTGACGCTTCATGGTTCTTCTTCTTCACGGGCGTCTCTTTTCCATGCCACCAATTCTTCTACATTTTTCGAAGTTCTGCTTCCCTTGCACGTCGACTTACGCCCTGTGCAAATCCCTTTTATTGATGTTCCCCTATTCTTCTGATTCAGTTCGCTCAAACTCGCGTAATGACCCCGATTACTTGGACAATCTTCTTCAACAATGCATCAATGGTAGGAATGATTTTAGTTACGAGAAACCAGTTAAGCAAATACATGCACAACTATTAGTTACAGCTTCGTTGTTCTCTGCTTTCTTATCTGCTCGAGTCATTACTGTATATTCGAAGATAAGTCTTTTGAACGAAGCCCGAAAAGTATTTAGTTCCGCGTCAGAAGATTGCTTCTCTAATTCACTATTTTGGAACTCAATTTTGCGTGCTAATATTTCGGTTTTCGAATACAGTGAGACTCTTGAATTGTACCTTCGGATGCGTGCACTTAGTTTTCAGCCTGATGGGTTCGGTTTTCCGTTGATTATAAGAGCCTGTGCGATGAAGGGTGATGTTATGTTATGTAAAATTGTTCATTGTCATGTTTTGCAAATGGGTTTTGGGAATGTTCTGCATGTTTGTAATGAACTGTTGGCAATGTATGGGAAGATTGGGCTGATGGAGAATGGTTGTCAAGTGTTTGATAGAATGCCTGTGAGGTCTCATGTTTCTTGGAACACCATGGTCTCGGGTTTTGCGAATAATCATGATTGTGATAGGGCATTTTGGATGTTTTCAAGGATGAAGAATGAAGGAATGGAGCCTAACTCTGTGACATGGACTTCGTTGCTCTCAAGTTTCTCTAGGTGCGGGTTTGAGGATAAGACGTGGAAATTTTACGTTTTGATGAGACAGAAAGGGGTTAATGCTACTGCTGAATCGCTTGCTGTTGTTATATCAGTCTGTGCTGACAGTGACTTCAAATGGTTTCAGAAAGGTGAAATTGTGCACGGGTATGTGATGACGGGTGGTTTTGACAAATATGTGTTTGTGAGGAACTCACTTATACATATGTATGGGAAAAATGGTGCAGTAGAAGAAGCAGAATATCTGCTTGCTGGATTGGAAACAAAGAGTATTGTAAGCTGGAATGCATTGATATCGTCCTATGCTGAGTCAGGTTTGTGTGACGAGGCTTTCTCCGTGTTTTTGCGGTGGGAAAATGAAGATTCATATTCAATGGGAAGGCCTAATGTGGTAAGTTGGAGTGCTGTTATCCACGGATTTGCTGCAAAGGGGCGGCACGAGGAGTCCTTGGAATTGTTTCGCCGTATGCAGATTGATTCAGTATTGGCCAATGCTATCACAATTGCCAGTGTGTTGTCAGTTTGTGCTGAGTTATCAGCTCTGCGTCTTGGTAGAGAAATCCATGCCCATGCAATCCGATTTTTGATGAACAGTGATATTTTGGTGATAAATGGTCTGATTAACATGTACATGAAATGTGGCAGCCTCAGGGCTGGGTGTATAATATTTGAAGGAATGAATTGGCGGGATATATTCTCATGGAACACTATGATCACAGGATTTGGGATGCACGGTCACGGTGATAGTGCTCTAGAAACTTACTATCGGATGGTTAATGCAGGAGTTAAGCCGGACGAGGTTACTTTTGTTGCCGTTCTTTCTGCGTGTAGTCATGGAGGGCTTGTGACCGAAGGTCGTGATATTTTTTATCAGATGACTAGAGACTTTCAAATCAAGCCCCAAGTTGAACACTATGCTTGCATGGTTGATCTTTTTGGACGTGCTGGCTGTCTGCAGGAAGCAAGCAACATTTTGAAAAGCATGCCGATGGAACCCAATGCTTGCGTTTGGGGAGCCCTCCTGAACTCTTGCAAAATGCATAAAAACACGGACATCGCTGAAGAGACTGCTTCTCAGATGTTTAGTCTTAATTGCGAGGTGACGGGTAGCTATATGTTGCTCTCTAATTTATATGCTGCAGGTGGGAGGTGGGAGGATTCTGCAAGGGTGAGAGTCTCAGCAAAGACAAGGGGTTTGAAGAAAATTCCTGGGGAAAGTTGGATTGAGGTGAAGAACAAGATCCACACATTCTCAGCTGGAAAATCCTTGAACTCGAGGGTTGAGGAACTTTATGGTGTACTTAAAAATATGAAACTTCATATGGCAATGGAGGGCTATGTATCGAACAAAATCTATGGCCTGCCCACAGACTGCTGATGAAGAAGAATATGCTTAGTACTTGTCAGCTGCACAAATTGATCTTGTGGGAGTTGTTGTAATCAAGCCGATTTGAGAATTATTTTTCTTGCTGCAGTCGGCAGTCCTTTGCGGGCTTCAGGTTTGGATTGTAGTACCCTGCCTTTTTACATGTTACACCGTTGAATTGATAACCAACGTATTCTTCTGTATATCTATACCGTATTGCAAAATGATAATAGCTAGCATCAGAATCTGTAGTTAATGATGTATGTTCATTGCCTGAGATTAGAATGGGAGATTAGTGTTCTTTCAATAAGATCCGAACTATGATTAAATTTTCCTTTGAATTGCAGGACAGACGGACCATGGCTAACTTGTCACATCCGTATGTGGGTCTGACCAAAGTAACATGGAAAGAAGATTGCTCAAGTTAGCAGCGTGTTCATGATTCTTCGCGAGAATTGTTCTTTTAAAACACACGACAACGTGGAAGAATTTAACTGAGGATTTATGTGAAGAAATTGGAAGTCCCCAGCCTAGGCATCAGCAAGATAAACTTAAAAAGCAGTGTTGGCAATCTCGTCGTCTGTTCTAATGCTGCAAAATTTTCCCGTTTCGTATTTCTGAAGAATCGTCTTTCTCCGCCACGGATGGAAAATTCTACAAATTTGGATTCCTTTTGGAATTGGATCAAGCAGTTGAATAAGAGTAATAAGACTAGGAATCTGGAATGACGAACATGACAATCGTTGAAGAGGGCGCTTCTAGTAGATGGTGTGCTCAAGATCAATAGAGTGCAAAATGTTGAATCATCTTGTTTAAAAGCGTGAATAAATTATCTATATAAAGTTTGTTTTGAAATCTGACTAACTGACGAAAACTGTTTAATGCATTGAGAACTCAAATTAGAGGCAATTATTAGTATACAAGGACTTTTGAAAAATCAGCTAAACAATAGATACGTCGGGAGGTTGTCCCGATGGGAACCTTTTTTAAACTTTTTGTGTGTTTTTATTTGAAAAAGTTTATTTTAGTAGTCGTAACAAGGACTTGTGAAAAATGTATCAATATACTTGGGACTGCATCAAGGATGAACATAAAATTTCACTTACAAGTTCAGTTACAAATTGTGTGTTTAACCCCGATACAATACGATTAGTATAACTAGCATAAGAGCATCTCATAAAATAATATTTTACTACTGTGTTTACTACTTGTGTGTTAAACAGTTACTGAAAACGATGTTGAGAGAAAAGATTGAATGAAACAGTTGACTTTATTTTAAACTGACAAATGTTAGTGCCAAATGAGACATTATATAATTCCTTATGTAAACTTTAATGTACATGTAACGAGGTATAACTTTCTCTGGATTGAAGCATAGTTAGGTACGAAAAACACAAAGACCATTTTGACAAGTTTGTGTTAATGCCTCTATGAACTGAAAATATATACATCAAAGGAAACTATTACAACCTCAACACTCGCCAAAAGGACAACAAAAGGAAATTAGTAAAGCACGAATTTCCCATTGCTTTGTCAGTGTGCAAACAACCTTGAATTCAAACATCCAAATTATCAACATTATAATATTTACAAGTCGGGCACATTGTCACCTTCAGAACCATCTGCCATATGCAATGCCCCACATTTGTCGACATCTGACCGTGTCTTTAATATCTTCATTTGACCTCGTGATTCCTTCATTCCTCGGATGAGCTCGAGCCTAATTGCTAGCCACATTGACTAAAGTTTCATCAGCAACCGGGAAGAGACTGGGCCGAAGCAAATGGTGAAAAGCTTGTGGCAGACTCACTGGAATGTAGTGGATTAGGTTGATGACTAGATGACCCAATATAACTTGACGAAGCGTTACCCATACTGGGTATATGTGTCGACATGTATCTGGAATTCAGACGGGATAATGAGGGGTACCCTAATGAGTGAGGTGAAACTAAATAAGCAGCACGGGATCTTTGGGAAGACACGTTCCTAAGGTCAACTGAGCTTCGACTCATACTAAGATGAGAAGATTGAAAATGCTGGTTATAAGGAGTGCTAGAGATGGAATGGGGATGAGAAACTGAAGAGGATTGAAATGATGCTGGAGCTATTTGTATGGCTGAGGATGATGCTAATGATGATCTGAAAGATGATAATACGGAAGATGAAGGATAAGAAGCTGGGGTAGATGAAAGCAACGGCGTAGATTCTGATGCCGGTGGATCACCAGTACCTGTTCTTGCATCACGCTTGCACACGGGACAGAATGTCCTCCACGATGTTAGCCAAGCATCAACACAAGATGCATGAAATTCTGTAAAAATCCCAACATGAAATTACTAAACTACAGAAAATCTAAGGAAAAATTACCAAAGCGTAATTAGAAAATAAAGAATAAAGAAGTACAACACAAATGAAGGCAGATACAAGTTCACACTCTTTATTTTTAGTTAAATGTACACACGAATTTGCACTAGGATGTAATTTTCTTTTTCGTTATGAAAAGAATAACTCATGAGAATAATCGCAGCAAGGGTACAGTTTAGTCCATATTGCATAAACAGTCAACTCTTCAGTAATTACAATTTTGAAAGATGAAAAGGTTAATCATTAGTAGAATTATAACTAATATGTTTACAAATACTTTCCATTATCAAAAATATTACATCCATAATACTTTAGGTTCAACATATAACCAACGAGTGATTTCCTTTCAATATTTGTTCTATACCTGTACTGGTATCTATAATTTCTATGATGCAAAGAAGAATGGAGGATCTTTATTACTTCTTGCAAGACAGATTACATAAAGCCAATTATATATAGAGAATTGAAAGACATAGAAGCATATTCATCAAGAAAAAGAAACTTCACAATATTTTCTTCCTGCCAAAAGTTGGTCAAGAAGAAACATATAGCATTTTTAGAACTGAGATAGTGAAGTAAATGGGTCGAAACACCCGGCCTATGGCGTGTCAAGCATCACTTTACAAAGCCTAATTTTGAAATTAATCACCACCACCCACCCCCCCACCCAACCCATATTTGAAAAATGTCATTAAAAATTGTCAAGAAACCCCCCCCCCCCCCCCCCAACCCAAAAAAAAAAAAAAAAAAAAAAACGACCATCCCAAACCAAATAATTGCCATTAACCATCTCACGCCTATTCTTAGAATGCCATTGCACAAAGGAAATGACAACTATTTACCAGAAAAAATTTGCATCTCATTTGACGTCCTCCAGAGCAGTGGGTCGAGGGGAACCCAAAGCAACCCAGGATTCCTCTCAAAATTAATAACCATGTAGACAATACCCAACTAAGTTGACAGTACCAGAAGAAACACTACAAGAAGTTACGTATCAGATTGTGAGTATGTTGTTTTTGCTTAAAAATTAAAATATAGAAAGTTCTTTTAGTTTAAAAAAAAATAAAAAAATAAAAAAAATAAAATTGTAACTTAAAATTGATGTTTGGCAAAATATGCAACTTAAAAGTAACAGAAGACTTACTGTGGCGGCATGGCAGAATTCTGAGCTTTTCCCCAACACTGTAGTCTTCAAGACATATAGCACATGTCTGTGAAGTACAATTATCCTCCAGAACAGCTGTGAAAATTAGGCTCGGCATGGCTTTCACCAGACGACTGCTCATCCCATGGAATTCACGTACACGTGGAGCTTGCTGCCGTTCTCTTCTAATGCGATGCCTCCGGACAAAGAAACAGGTAGCTAACACTGCTGCCATGGCAAGTAACGAAATGAAAGATATAGCCATGATTGACCATGCCGAGTTTTCAAGGCTCGGCATTATCCAGAGTTCCATGTACGCAGCACCAGCATATTTTGTCAGGGTTTCACCTGAAGCTTTGGAAACAAACACAGCATGTATTTTTATACCAGCAGCATATCCAGCCACTGAATTTTCACACAGCAAAAACTTCATTAGCCATAAAAAATAAAGCAAATCAACTTTCATAGCTACCTTTATTTTTTAACCAAGAAGCAGAAGCAAAGAAGTGGAAAGAGAACCTACTAGTACCTTCAACAATTATTTGTGAGCCTTCCTATTTTACATTTTGGATTGACTGATAAATGACGATGCCCTACTAGTGACTTCATTATATTTTCCACTTCAATTAACTTTTGTACTTTTAAACAATCTGATGTGTCAAGGAAAAATGTTATCTTATGGGCAAAATTCCATGAAGATGAGGAGGAGCCAAGACTCTCAATCTTTTCCAGATATACATTTTGAGCACTAAATATAATCTTGACATGGCCAGGGCTCAAGTACCGATATCCCAGGAAACTTCTTTGTAATACTTCACTGCCTCTCTCATCCTAACTAACTGAAAGTCACAATCTTGGATTCGATCTTAGTTCTATCTCTTATTCCATAATATCATTAACTCCATAAAACAAAGTAGAGAATTCTGAAGGCAACAATGCTTACAATAGGGAATATTGCAGACTGAGTAACCATCATTTTAACTTGCAAATCATAAGGAACATTTATTTTTGAGCACAAAGAGAATTATTTTGGTTCTACCAAGTAAACAATCCTGGAATTGCATCATTTGGAGATGATAGGAAGCGGTCAGAGATATATGGCATTCTAGAATATAAGATGGTGCTTATGAGCTTACATTTCTGGAACCTAAAACACAATACTCATACTACACACTGCATTTTCACTTATGAGCTATCATTCGATGGGCAACAATAAACTGCCAATATTATGAAGCATAACCATAAGATGAGGGAAAGAAAATATAAAACTAATTCATTTATTTATACATTGGGAAAATCATGTCAATCTTGTTTTCCAAACTTGTGGATCACAAATTTTAATATTGCAGAAAATGCAATGCTTAAAACTTTTGACAAAACACCAAATTCATAAAATAGTATATGCAGGGAGAAAAAGTCATTACTTGCAACTAAATCACCATTTTCACTGTCATAGACAATGGCTGCTTTGAATTGTGCAGCTTGTGCACTTCTGACTTTATCATCAAAGCTACATCCGCCTCTAATTATCAACACAAATGGAGACTTGGTATCATTCATTTCTGAACCGATTTTATTAGTCAATGGCGAGCATGCATCCAAAGGCTCCGCCACATGCAATGTGCCAGATATCCCGGACCCTTTCACTGATGGAGCTGGAATTCAGGAGTAATATCAGTAAGCGCAGAGCAAGTAAAACAAGAGACATAGAAAGAACCCACACACACTAATACAGGAAAGGAATTCAATTTTTTTATCAAACTAGTGCATGGTCCTTACCAAGTGGAGATTCCTACGAATGGGAAAGCGACCTAGAAATGGGTTTATCTATCTAGCAGACTATCCTGACCATACCCTACTAACTGCGAAACTTGCCATTACAGATACATTCCATTGATATAGAATATTTCATTGGCACGAAAAAATAAAGGAATCAAAATTTACTTTTTGATCCCAAATAGTTTTCTTTAAACTATCTTTCTCAAAAAAACAGGCAATAAACCAATTACTGCGCCATATTTCAACTGAAAAAAGACATTATCTAAAGCAGTAAATCGATCCATGCAACTCAATCAGCTCTATTACAGATTCCACAATTCCCAGCAGAATTTTATATCAAAAATGGGAGAAAAACCATAATTTGGTTCCGATATATCTGTATCACCAATCATAGCCAAGAAAGAAATATAACACAAACCATGCAGCTCGATACTCAAACAATTTAAACAAACCCATAACCCAGATTCAATATTCTTTATAAATCAAATCAAACAATCAATTGCCCAAAATAAATAAAATAAGGAAAAAAAAAAAAGATTCAACTCACCGAAATTAGCTTCAATGTCTTCAAAAGACAAGGTCACATTATTCCCAATCAAAACCACGTTGCCAAACACCGTGAGAGCACCCATTAAACAGCAAGAAAACCACAAAAACACCCCGAAAGTCACCATCTTTACCCGATCTTATTTCAACTTCCCAAGATCTTCACAACCCCGTAAAATAAAAAAATACACTTTCAACTATTATTACAGCGGTTTTAACACTGAGAAATAGAAACATCAGCTTCCATTATTCGCTATAATTAGGGCTATGCAATTTCTCCTGCGATTTAATTTTTAAATTAGTATTATATTTGGAGTACTTATAAGGGCGGGTGTGTTTTTTTGCTGGTGTGCTGTGATGATAATGCCTAGGTTTCATGAATATCCTTTTAGTTCCGCCCTAAACGGCAACCAAAAAAATAATAATAATAAAATAAAAAATTAATTGCAATTTGTAATAATTAAAAAAAAAAAAGTAGTAAATAATAAAAAATTTGACTTTTCTGTAATAGAAATTGTTTTGAAAAAGCTGCCTGTAAACTTCGACAAACGTGCTCTTAAAATATCTTCTCATAGTGGGTTCGGTTGCATTTAATTTAAGGAAAAATTCTAAATGTACATAATTTTTGTCTATAATGGGAAAAAATGAGCTCAAACATAGGCTAAATTATTATTATTATTTTTTTTTTGCAGTGATTGAGAGAGTTGAATCCATTTGATAAATTTACACAAACTTTGGAAAATGTGTAAATTTGCTTAACTTCGATATTGACTCGTAGTTCGTGCTCTTTACTCACTACCGGCCTCGTACTATCAAGGTGGTGTCCCAATTAATTCTCTTGACCTCCCTTATAGCAGTATTTAGATCATTTCTAATACTGCTTGGTAGCATGAAATCGATAGTGTGCAAATGACTATCCTCATAACGTGAGTTGTAATATGCACCGAGACCAAATAAAAACACAATAATACTATGTGTAGACCATGATTACCCCAGAGCAACGTTCAATTCCTAAAAGCATGAAATTATTAATGTGAACCATAATTAGTATAACTCCTATATATGATAATATTCACAATCTTGATCCATAATTACTTAATTAGTGAGTCCATTCCCTCCAAGAGGATAATTACTAGATTAATCCACGACGTCGGCTCATGGTTGTTTGCAAGATGATACAAATAATGGCTAGTTTTTTTTTTTTTTAATAACATTTTAATTTAAGTGTCCAGAGGTGCCTCGTCATCATTTTAAGCCTTGTTTGAGCCCCATTATTTTCATCAAAATACATTCTTCAATAATGATTTGATCTCATTTCAACCACACATCTTCATTAAAATAATATTACACGTTAATTCAAAAATTTTCTTTATTTTTTAACTACACACTTTTTCATCAATATACTATTCAAAAATGCATTTTTTTTTTGAGCAAAAATGGGGCTCAAACAAGGGCTAAGTGTGAGACAGACTAATGCAATTTGGTGGTTAGTGCTGATTAACTTGAAAACGTGAGTCCAACCAAATGGTCAAACTCCTTTTAATTATTACTTTGATTCTTAATCAAAAATTTAGGTTGTTTGATGACAACATTCTCATTGAAAAAAAATTTAAGAAAAAATTTAAGGGCGTCATAATAGATAGATCCAACAATCAAACTCGACTACTGTATTATTGTAGTCGTAAATATCTTTAGAGTTAAAGGACGTGCAACGCATGTAAAGTGTCCATAAGGATGCATATAAATACCATAGTTTCTTTTTTAACCACACATCTTCATTAAAATAATATTACACGTTAATTCAAAAATTTTCTTTATTTTTTAACTACACATTTTTTCATCAATATACTATTCAAAAATGCATTTTTTTTTTTGGGCAAAAATGGGGCTCAAACAAGGGCTAAGTGTGAGACAGACTAATGCAATTTGGTGGTTAGTGCTGATTAACTTGAAAACGTGAGTCCAACCAAATGGTCAAACTCCTTTTAATTATTACTTTGATTCTTAATCAAAAATTTAGGTTGTTTGATGACAACATTCTCATTGTAAAAAAATTTAAGAAAAAATTTAAGGGCGTCATAATAGATAGATCCAACAATCAAACTCGACTACTGTATTATTGTAGTCGTAAATATCTTTAGAGTTAAAGGACGTGCAACGCATGTAAAGTGTCCATAAGGATGCATATAAATACCATAGTTTCTTTTTTTTACTTTTTAATATGCAGATTCATCAAAATCTTATGAGCATAATTCTCTGCAAATGGTTAATCAAACAAACACATACTTACATTTTCTAAGTATAACATGAAAGTTATGTAAGCAAATCGACATGGATTCCTACAATAATACCTTAACAATAAATACACTAGGCATTGACAAATGTAGTGTTGACACGTGGCATGAACATCGTCTTTTTATTTGCTCTTTTAATATAGACTATTCACTTGCCTGTGCAATGCACGGGATGAGTTATTTTGAAGGTAATGTTAGTGTGTTAAATATGTCAAATTATCGTGAATTACATTTTCGGCTCAATATGTACTCAAACCAATTTTGAAACATCCATATCTGAATAACTGATTGAAATCAGAAAGCAAATTGATGTGAAGAAGTTCAACTGGATCAAAGTAGTAAAATGAAAAATCATAGACACATGGATGAAGCTAAAATCGAAGATTGACATGTTCTCTAGGTTATTTGTACCCTACGAGGCTTCACAAGCATTGTTATTTCAGAGGCTGTTTCTATTTGCTTAGAAACCCATGGTTTGAAAAATTACTCTGTATGTTCTCTTGTGTAATTTTTTTAGAAATCAATTTGAAAGTCAATGGAAGCATTTTCGTATTTCTCACAGGCCATATTAGCTTCTGCATCTACGAACACATCAAAACATTCATAAATGCCTTAAAATAGCGTTGCTAGCATTTTCCCCCAGAAGAACCTGTAAAAGAAAGTTAGTCCAAACATCTCTATTATAGACAGGGGGAAAAGGAACAAAAAAATACCCTATTTGGAAGCATTTCCACTATGATGCATTTTATTGTGTCCGAATGAAAACAAATTTCATTTTTTATATAGATCACTGCACCCAGGGATTACTCCAATCTATTTCATTTTGGTTGAGAATTTTTACACAAGTGCAAAAAGCATAATGTCATTTCTTCACGAAGCAGAAAATATTAAGCAATTGAACTTTGAATTGAAAGACCTACAAGATCATGCAATATCATTCACTTAAAAGGTGATGAATGGAGAGGGTGAAAATTGTATGCTAGTATAGTAAAGAAGTGCTCATTTTTCATTGGCAAATTCATTGTATTCTTAAACATAATATTTCTAAAAGTAAAAATCTTCAGACATTGAAACTTCTTCATCTTTCCCTAGTACAACACTAAGCTCAAAAATCTTGAACAAAGAGAAATGAGAAGTAACTGAACGTCGTAGTAGCTCTAGTCAATAACGTCATTATCATAATAATTAGATTCGTATGTTTCACTTTCAATTGACTCCAACACTAAAATTATACCTTTAGAAAAATGGAAATACTAAATTACATAAGTCAGAACCCTACTTTGAGACTTAACCTAACAAAGAAAAATCATCCCAGGATTATCAAAAAAACATATAACAAGCAAATTTAGATACATACTTATATATACCTAGAAACACGAATTTTGGAACACCTTTCAAAGAAATAAAATCATTTGCCAGATATCACTCAAAGCCTAGGGAAATTCACAAATAAATGAAAATATATGCATAAAAAGTACAAATGTTAAAATTAAACCTTAAATCAAGATTTTGCCCCAAACCTAAATGAAACTTGTTGGAGAATTTACACCGATTATCGTGCATATTATATTCACAACTTGTTGGAGAATTTACACCGATTATCGTGCATATTATATTCACAACAAACATACTGGTTATATGCATGAAATCGAAACGTAATCCAACTTACCAAAATTGGATTTAACAAGGAGAAATGATAATTTACCAATTCTGAACTCAAGAATATGGATTCTTCCCTTTCGATTCTTGAACGATCAAACCTTGCAGCATAAATATATAAATCAGATTAGTCAATTTTCTGAAATCAGAGTATAATTAACAGAAATCAGAAAATAAAGGGAGAAGATGCATGTGATGAATTTTTGGCCAAGGCAAGTGTTGGACACTTTATCCTTAAGATGAATTTGCCCCGCATTGGTGCAACCGTTGTCCGGCAATCATCTCTCAAGATACAATGACCACGTCAAGTCATAGGAGCACTCCAAATGACTTCGACTAGCGAACTCGAACGGAATTTTCTCTCTACCATAACCATGACTTTGATGCAAATTTAAATCACTTCTAAAAGTATTTTATGCAACATGATATGAGAGAGAGAGAGAGAGTGTGTGTGTGTGTGTGTGTGTGTGTGTGTGTGTATATATATATATATTTAAATCATTAAAATAAACATCCAAATGGTCCTATATATAGGAGTTGAATGGTGGTAGGTGAAGGGACACACCCCAAACTTTAATTTCGTTCAAATATGACCGAATTTCTCATTCATATACAAATTGGTCCTTAACCAATTTTCAACAATCCCCCACATGAGTGGAAATTTCACGTATGCAAATGATAATGCAGACACTAGTAGAGAGAGAGCGGAAAGACACTGCATCAGGTAAGGTAGCTTTTGGCTTTGAACCTTCCGTAGTAAAATACCATCGGATTTACTATATAATTGGTGAACGCGATGTTCTTGAACCATCAGCCGTTGGTGTAAACCAAGACAATAGTACTCACACAATATCTCCCCTAAACCGTTCATGGTTCTCATGACTTGATTCATTTTGGCCCTGAACCGATCTTGGTTCTGCAAGTGTTTAGAGAACTCAAGTCCTGAATAATTCTCATTGAAGCGGCCCCACTTCACACTCATATAGGTGATTTCCTATTAAGAGTATTCTGCCCTACTCCACTTGACTTAATCAAGATATAGGAATCATTAAAAGTTTATTTTAACCTCCAACCACTCTGTAGAAAGTACTTTGGTATTATAGGAATGAGTTAGGAATTTAATTTCCTAAGTGCTTCATGGATTTCTCATAACTTAGTTGTCCCTTTGAACCAAGATCTTGGGATCTCCAGTCAACATGGTAGGGTTACCATCATAAGGACTCTTACTCAGTAGGCTTAATCTCATTCCCTTCGATATGCAGTATACTTGATCTCTTGGTAAACATATATAAATGGATCCACAAGTTTACACCAATGAGGTCAACTGCTCATGGTATTATGTCTACGCCATACATGCTAGACTCACCATTACAAGTGACTTAGTATCTTATCAAATTTAGCTAGCCAACGATCGATTTA